TATATATATATATATATATATTGCTGCATTTTCTACCCTACATAATATGTAATTTCAATTTTGATTTCCTCTAAGATTCATAGGTAATCAAGGACATATTTTCTTTATTATTCAGTAGTTAGTATCTTTAATGGCAATCCCCCCCTACTGATCTCTAATTTTTGTATTATTATTAGAGAACATGGCTTATACAATTTTTTTCATCAAAAGAAAAAAATATATTCTCAATGTTTGAGGACTAAAGTTCTACATGTGTTCAGTGAAATTTGTTGATTATGCTATTCAAATCCTCTGTGTTGTTAATTTTTAAAACCTATTTGAATCCACCAACTTCTGAAATAAATACAGGGAAACTCCCTACCATGAATATATACATTTTCAAATTCTCCTTGCATTGTGAGGAGACTCTGTTTTAAGTAGTTGTCTGCCATGCTCTATGTTGTATCAAGGTTTGTGACTGTTACATCTCTTTCCGGGTTGTGTCTTTTGTTATCACATAATATCCTTGGTCTTATTTAACACACTTGTCCTTGAACTTTCCTTCTCTGACATCGCCACAGTTGCTTTCTTTCTGCTTGCCTTTGCATGTTTGCGGTTGCCTAGCTATTTATTTTTAACCTTTTCCTTTTCTTAAATATGGCTTTTATCTAAATAATGCACAGTTGTATTTTATTTTTTATCATATCTGACAGTCTCACACTTCTAATAGAATTAATTCTGTTCACATATTTGTGTCAACGAACATGCTTAGGGCTTAAGGCTTCTGTGTGTCTTGTGTTTGTTACTTGTACCAATCAGTGATGTGCTTGACTGTAACAGAATACACAATGAAAAATTGCTTAATTAAATATTTCATATTTTAATTGTTATATTTCATTTAATTATCATAGAACTTTATTCCTCAAAAGTCCTTATTTTCTTCAAATCATGAGAAATCTGGAGGTGTGCTGCAATGGGTAGTATTGTTTTAGCTGCTCACTTGATCTTTCTGCTTACTTATCCTTAGCATGTAGCCCTCTTCCTCATGGTTGCAAAAGTCTTCCAGCAACTCCTGGCATCACTTCTTTATTCCAGGAAAGAAGAAGGAGATGAGGCAAAAGAGCAAAGGGTGAAGGGGTTTCTCCCATGGAGTCTTCACCTTTTTTTTGGAGAAGGAAAGCACATCACTGGGACTTCTGCCTATATCTACTCTGTCAGAAATCAGGACAGCTGGTCACTCTTGAACTGATCACTTACCAAGGAGAATAATATTACATGGAGCTTTAGACCCATTTTATTTGTCGTTGAAGCTGGGGTAGAAACTTGCCTCTCCTGAAACTAAGAGACCTCTGTTACTCCCTGAGCAAATTGGGGGTTTCTGATAAGGGAGAAAGGTGGGCTGGAATGGATAGTGGGTAGATAACTGACAGTGTCTGCTGTGATAGCTACCCATTTTTTATTGTTTTCTCTCTTCCCTATACATGTTTTTGCAGGATTGGTAAGCCTCTTATCATTTACTTTTTCCCACTATTACTTTGAAAGTTGTATAATTCTAATAGTGGTTGCCTCCCTGCTTCTATCAATCATAATTAAACCTGTGTTTCTGTATTACTATGTTGCTTTTAACATGCAGCAAAATAACAGTACCTTCTATATTAGTCAGGGAAATTAATGCTGACTTCTGGAACAGATAAGCCCTGAAGTTGCAGTGAGTTTATATAGGGAAGGTTTATTTCTTGATTACATCACAGCTTGATTTGGATTGGGTCGCTCTTCTGTGTGACTTGCTTTCAAACCTTGACTTGTTGATCAGTCTGCTTTTTTGTAGCAATTCTACCATCTTGGAGTCACCTATTCCTAGCTGGGTGGCTAAGAGGCAGAATGTGGAAAAAACAAATCAGCTACAAAAGCATCGGTCTGAAAGTGGTACAAATCACTTCCCCTGACATCCATAGACACATTCAGTCATGTGGCCCAATGGGACTGAGGGAAGCTGGGAAAAGTAGTTGTCTGGTGGACTCATGGAGAATAAATGAGGTGCTGGACATATTATGGTTGCTGTCACAAATCATTCTGCCCACTCACACATTTTGCTCTCTTTCTCTGTGATACTGCACTCACCATCTATGTAAGGGAGACACACTCAAGTCTCACCCTGTCACTGCATGCAGCCCAAATCCAGTCTGCAGGGGTTCTGCATGGGTCACTATGAGGTCTGGATGTGCTAAAGAGATGTGCCATCTGAGTACCCCCACCTTAAAAATGCAATACCAGTGGTGGAGCAGGGTTGGAATATCCACTGGGGCAAAGGGGAGAATGTGAACCCCACTGAGACACAAGTTTATGCATTCCTGAGGCCCTAGAGGCCCATCTCTGTGAAGGCCCCTGCCCTGGCTGGGGAGGGCCGTGTGGGGTGGACGCTGACTGTGCCCTCAAGGAGGCTCCTGCAGGCTCACTGTTCCCCTTGGCTTCATCTGGAGTGAGTGTGGAGGTCCACAGCCTCCTCGGACCAGTAGAGCCTTTGAAGCCTGCTGCCTGTTCATTGAGGTTAGGTATGCATGGGTTACTGAAGTCTTTTTAAGTCCAGACTCAGAAACCTAGGAGGCTTCTGATGTGTTTGCGTCCAAGTCCTAGTAACAACACTTGAGATTCTTTTCTGGACATATTTCAAAAGCTGACTGTGCTGCTTTGCCTCTTTCCCCATGTCTCTGCCTTTCAGCTCAAGGGCATCTACCTCAGACACTTAGAAAAATAAGTGTGAGAGGTTGCACTCTCCATGTGCTTGTGTTAGCCTGGCTCATCTGAGGAGCAGAGTGGAGGATGGGAATATACCAGGGTTTATTCAGGAACATCTGTGACACCACCGTGCAAGTCTGACCTTGAGGAAGGAGGTGGTGAAGGCAGGCTGGGTGGAGGTGTTCTGGGCAGCTGTGCAGTCTGAGGAGGGTTTCTTTAGGCTTCAGGGAGGTTGCCCATCGGAGGAGTGTGGTATCTCTCAGGAATGAGCTGCCATGCTCAGTCCCAGGCTGGGAGCTACCTCTGGGAAGCACGACCTTGGATGAGCACAGGAGCACAGTTGCAGAGTGCTTGCTCCCTGTGGCTGGGTGCCCATGGGGCCCATGCTGAGGGCCACCCAGTACTCTGTGCCCAGGTCACTTTAGTCACCTGAAAGTTTTACTGAATACTGTCAACGTTAAACTTTAAAAAATCCTATCTCTTGCAATTTGGGCCTTAGAAGGGAGTGCTTTTTCCAGTCCTAAAAAGCCCCAACTTTCTATGTTCTCTCTATTCCCTTTTATTTTGGCTTGCAAAGCACCTAGTTCCTTCCTGAATGCATTCCTTTCTCTTGACACCTTATCAGACACAGCTGCTAGCAAACAACACAATCAATGTTCTATTTTCCAATCTTTCCCCTTAGAGTGACAAGTTCAGAAGGCATAAGGGTCTGCCTTTTACGTTATAGCATCTGACAATTTTACCTAATGTTTTGCCCTTGCATAACATGGATCTTCAGCCATTCAGCCTGCTGAACATCACTTGCCACCCAGTGATGCATAGGTTGTGTTTCTGTTTCAGCAGCATCCCGCTCTGGGGATGAACTTCCATTTTCTTCATGGCAATCAATGCCGTCTGTCGCGGCAGGCAAACTGAGAAATCTCAGTAGCTTAGTACAACACAGGTTTATTTCTTACTCATGTTACAGGCTGCCATGGGTCAGGGAGACTCAGGGCCTAGCAGCTTCATCTTGCACCTCCACCTTTCCAGCCAGTGGACAGGAGAGAGAGTGCGGAGAAGGATCCCTGGCTCCTAACAGCCTTGGTCTGGGAGTGACACAAGTCCCTTCCTTCAGGAGTGCTGTCCTGTCATGGATGCACTTTCTGTTGATCTCAGAGGCACCTGGCCTTGGGCACTAGCTCCAGCTTTGGGCACCAGCTCCAACACGCGGGCTTAGCTGCTGGGTGGCACCCTAGGGAGACTCGGAGGGAGAGATGCAGGTGGACCTGAATGCAGGCTGCTGAATCTCTGGAGTCTTTCTGTAGATGATAATGATGAACAGAGGGGGTGTGATGGCTGTGCACCATCAGCCAACCTAGACCCTTTCTTACATTTTAGAATTCAGACCTCTTTCTTCTTCCTTCCTTGTTCCTCCTTCGGTTGTGTGGCAGCAAGTGACAAGCATATCCAGTGGCTCCTGGGGGCGGATGGCGAAGTCTGGGTCTGGATCATGGGAGAGGGCCCTGGCGACAGGCCCTATGAAGAGATCTCAGAGGAGCTGATCGCAGAGAGGGCGCGGCTACAAGCACAGAGGGAGGCTGAGGAGCTCTGGTGAGAGGAGCAGATGGGTGTGGGGGGGGCCTTAACATGTTGCCTTGGGATGGGCTCCAGCTGAAGGACAGTAGCTTGTTGGTGGGAGAGAGGAGCTGCCAGGAAGCTGGCTGGCTGCTAAGGTTAAGTGAGCAGAGCATCAGAGTCCTGTATCAGGTTGACCTTGTGGGTTCAAATCCTGGCTCCCCCAGTTAGTAGCCAGCTGATCTAGGGCCTCAGTTTTCGTATCTGTGCTGTGGGCATAGCAACACCCTTTCCATTTGGATGTAGTTTGGATTCACTGAGGACTCACTGAGTAATATATATGACATGCTTTCACTTTTTCCTTCACTGAGTTGTCCCCAGGACAGTGTAACAGTTTGGGTTCACCTTTGTTATCTACTTGTTCCTCTTCGTGTTACCTGCCTTCCCACACAAGATGGACAGCTGAGCCCCCAGTGAGATGTGCAGTCAGACTTTTTTCATAAATAAATATTAACATTTTTTCACCAAACTTGGAAATTTGTATGAAGCTGAGTCCAACAGTTTTCTCCCAATTTTTAATGACAATGTTTTAATTGTAAAATTGTTAACAACCCAACACCGATAACCACAATGAGCATTTAAGCAATACATACATACTTTGTAAATTTTTATTCACACCTTGATAAATAGATTAATATAGATCCACAATGTTATTTAAGATTACTATATCATATTCCATTACACAAGGAACCCAATTTTATTGGTCCTGTTGACAGACATTTAGGCTGTTTGCCATTTGCTGTGTCATAAAAATCATCTGCTGAACATCTTCTACCTTTATACACTTGAGTGAGAAATAGGATTTCTGAGTCTCTTTTTCCTGGCTTCCAGAATAATCCTGCTGATTTACACTCCTGTACAGGAGACTGACTATTTCTCCCCACCTTTGCCAATATTGGGTTTGTTAACTTTAGCTATTTGCCATTCTGATAGATCAAGAAAGATTGCTTGTAGTTTTTATGTGAAGTTCTGCTGCTGCATGGTCCTTCAGTTTCCCACAGGAGCTCATACCTGCTGGTGTTCTCTTGGAAGGAGACAGAAGGAGGCAGAGATCACCAAGAAGTTTCGGGATGCTCTGGCCAATGAGAAAGCCCGCATTCTCGCGGAGAAGTGGAAGGTGGAGATGGAGGACCGCAAGGCAGCCAAAGTCCTGGAGGAGCGCATCCATGAGGAATTCAAGGTGAGCTGTGGGGCATCCGTGTGCAGCTACCTAGCTCCCGGGCTACTGGGGCCCATCTCTGATATGGACCAGTCCTTCGCCATTGGTTGGTACTGAATGCTTTGTGAGAACAGAAATCTGGCATGTCTGAGCAGGAAGGAATTCGCCGCATCATTTGGGCAAATCCACTTCTCGTACACATGAGGCAGCTGAGGGTCAGACAAGGTGAGAGGCTTGGCTATATGACAAGAGACTTGGCCACAAGGCCATGTGTAGTTGAGGACAGAGCCAGGACCAGAACTCAGGCCTTCTGCCTCCTAAAGTAAAGATCCTGAAAGGAGGCCTGGAAAGTGCTGAGTTTGTGGTCAGACCAGCCGGGAAATCAGTTCCAACACTATTGCATACTGCTGTGTGACCTTGGGAAGCTTGCTGAACTTCCCTGAGGCTTTACTTTCTTGTTTGTAATAGTAGGGTAATAACAACACCCAACTTGAGGTTTTTAGAGGTTTTAAGGAGATGAAAAATGCACATTTTCTGGCCCTGGGTAGGGAGTTGTTGATAACTTTGCATACCTACTCATTCTATGAGAGTTTGGAGCTGGTAAAAGAGGTTTATAATCCTCTGGTAAGATGATTAGATTGCCTGAAACAAATTTTTTTCCTGGTCCCTATTTGAGATTTTTTTTTTTTTTGCTACAGAAATAGTACATTGTTTTGGGGGTAGAAAACTCAGAAAACACATATAAGCAAGATGAGAAAATAATAATTATGCTGAATCCCAACAGTTGTGTTTTGTGAATTGTATATTCATAGAATTTGCCCATTAAAATTTTTTAAAAACCTTTCCCACCCATAATGATTAGATAGTGAGGATAGTGGCCTCTTAAGATTATTTATGTTGCAAATATTTTTCTTAGTGTTGTTGTTTTTCTCTTAATTTTGGTTATAGTATTTTAGATGTACGGAAGATTAAATATTTTACTGGTCAACTATCTCAATCTTTTGAAAAGTTACTTATTTTATGCCTAGAAAGATCTGTGCCACCATAAGCTTATAAAAATATTAATCTGTATTGTTTTATATACCTTCCATGATTTTTTATTTCTTTGCACTTAGTTTCCCTGCACTTTGGAGTATGGTGTGATATAGGGCTTTAACTGTATTCATTTTATTTTTCTTTCAACTTTAATGAAGTTTGAAATTTCTTTTTAAATGCAATGTTTTGAGAGTAAACATTGCTTCACTTACAAAAGTCAAGAGAATCTCCTTAAAATGTATGTAACTGAAGGGAAAGTTAAATAAGGAGATCAATAAATATATAACTATAAATAAATAGGCCTGGGAGCCTTAGTTTGCTGACTCCTGATCAAACCCTAAGTACTTCCGTGTGGTCTCCCATGAATAAGGACATTTTTGTGCAGAGCCACAATCACCATTATCACACCTGTTGAAATGAACAACTCTATAATAGTATCAAAAATCCAATCTGTAATGGAGAAATATTCAGTTTATATTGTTGGAGTTTGCATATGATTATTTAAGTCTGCTGGGGAAGAAAATCAATACTTTTTATAGATCTCTAACAGCGAGAGACACCTGCTCTAATCTCTGGCCATCCTCTTCACCAGAGGTGGCCTGAGTCCCAGAGGCTCATGGCAACATGGCTCGGTGGAGCTGGGTCCCTGGGGCTCAGTTCACAAGGAGATTATAGCAGGATTGGGTGCAGAGGAGACTTTTGGTTGATGATCTTGATGACTGAGTGATGATAAATTGCAGGGCGCTGTGTGTTGGGTTCTTGGAGCCGTTATTTGGGGCCATCTGGCCGGGCCCTCAGGTTCGTTGAGGGGCCCCAGTGCAGGCTTTTGATGTTATTTTCAAAGAAGGTCATGGTAATTATGTCTTTGTTTTTGTTTTAAATATCAATGTTTAAACTTTAATACACTTTGTAATCCTGATTTGGTATGCCTGCATTTCTGAGCAGCTGGGAGGTTTCCTGTCAGAGCTGTCTGTCAGTGAACTACCCATGTATTGTGAATAGCTATGTGTTGCAGGAAATGGTTAAGTGTGGGCTGCAATGGTACTAAAAAGGTTTCTGTGGTGGATTAGTGATGGCTGGCAGCAAAGTCTTTGCCACTACTTCCTTGGAGAGGTGGAGTCTGAGTCTGCTCTGTCCTGTGCCTCTAGCATTGATCTGAAGAACGCAGTAGAAATGACTCTGCAATTCTGAAGACAGGCTGTAGAGATCGACAGTTTCTGCCCCTTCTTGCAATGCTCACCTCTGGAAACTGCGTCTTGAGAAGCCCTCCTCTCCGGACTGGCATGCTGTAAAGGAAACCCAAGGACTCCAGGCAGAGAAGGAGCCAGTGTGGAGGAGCATGGAGGCACCGGGCCCTCAGTGAGGCCCTCTTGGTTCTGTCAGTGAAGGGCTCCAGTCAGGTGACTGACCTTGGCTGAAACCATGTGGAGCAGAAGGGCTGTCCAGCCAAGCCATGCCGTACTTATTAACCTACAGAATCACTAGCAAATAAAACGGTTGTTATTTTAAGGCACCAAATTTGCTGGTAGTTTGTCACTTGGCAATAGATAACTAAAACAGCTTTGCTAAAGGGATTAGAGGTTGGTTTAGATAATTTTTATTGTGTTTTTTGACCAACGTTCTAACATAATGTGAGCTTTGCGTGCAGAAATGTACCAAGAACATTTGGTTAATTTAATACTTTTTTTTCCCCCTGAGAACCTAAGTGCAGATTGTCCGGGGGTGGGTGGTGGTGGTAGTAATTAATTCCCTACTCTCAGAGAGCTAACAGGTGCTGAGGGGAGAGAGTGACAACTCTATGAGCAGTCCTCAGCCCCATCCATGCCTGCAGGGTGACCATGGAGGTCAAAGGAGTACCTTTACGAGTTTGGGCTTGAGCAAGGACAGGAAATGGAAAAGAGCTATGTGGAATGGTCAAGGGCCTGCTGTCGGCTGGGAGAAAAAAAGCACATGATGGGTGGAGCCAGATGTGGGCAGAGCCTGGAAGGGTAGGCGGTGGAGCCCTCAGATGCTCCATGAGCAGGTGCACTGTTCTCTGTGGGCAAAGCAGACACGTGAGGCTCTCCATGCTGAGGGACGTGGTTGGACCCAGCTTTGGGAGGATAACTGGTGGTTATTCAAGTGATGAAAGTTTCCGGGGAGGGAAAGGACAGTTAGGAGATTTTAGCAAAGGTCTCTGTGGGAAAGGATGAGTCTGTGACTATAGACATACAAGGGGATGGACACAGAGAAACAGTGGTGATGAAACAACAAGGCTCGGCATCAGTTAGGTGTTGGGATGAGAGAAGGTAAAGGGCAAGGGTGTCTGAGCCCCAGGCTGGGGAATGGGTAGATGGCAGCACCTTTGCCATGGAAGGAGGAGGAGACTAGAGGGGAGAGAATGAGCTTGGACTGGCTGGTCTGAGGTTTTTTTTACCACCCAGAAAAGGAAGGTGAGGTGAGGGCTGGTGGCGGCGGGGGAGAACCTGGACCAGGAGCCTGGGTGGTGGCGGTTTGGCTGGGCTCGCTTGGGGCTGCTGTGCTGAGGATCATAGGAAAGATGACAGTGAAAAATTCCTTTTAGAAAAGGGGAAAAAAATCCCAGAATCTTGTGTAGGGTTAACGAGGGAACTTAAAAATAGAAGCAGCAGACAGCTAGAAATCTGTTTTTTAAAAACCATTCTGTTGTGGCTGGCACCGTTTGATAGCAATTTACGTACATATAAAAATGTTCCTTTAGAAAAAAAGGAGATCATGAGGCCAGATAAAATTTGCATCTTTTTTTCCTGCCTTCTTAACTCATCACGCTGCCTAGATGCTTCTTCCTCTACTGAAGACCGCAGAACATGGACAGCAAGGATCTTCTCTCTCCCTCTGGCGACCTTTCCCTAAGGTGACTTCCCTCTCCACTTCCACATCTCCCTCCTGTGCCCACCTCCTTCCCAGTTTTACTTCCTCCCAGTTCTCCTGGTAAGGAACAGACACAGTTGAAACAGTTAAACTGTCCTTTAAATTTTCTCCATTTTCTATTCAAGGCCAGTCTCTGTTTTTCTCTCCCATTAGGTTGGAGTTCATTTTAGCCGCGTAATGACATCCTCTAGAACTGTAAAAATGATCCCTGTCTTATTCCCAATAGGATGATAAATGGTGGGAAACTTTCCACTCCTTAGCTCTCTCTTGAAAACTGTAGACTCTCTCTGAGTTTCTCCTGGACAAGTCAGGCAGCAACAGGAACATATGATGTGGTGTCCCCTTTCCCTCTCACGATCATCATAACCCTTCATTGGTTCACTGATTCACTCACTCCTGCAGCCACCCTTTATGCAACAGCTGCTGTCTGCTTGGATCCATGCTGGGAGCTGGGAGGGAGGCATGAATGACACAAGCCTGGCTCTGGCCTTTTGGAGGGCTTCCTCTCAAAAAGCACAGTGGTGTTACTGCGGCCAGACTGACAACTCAAACAACTGTGCCTTCCAGTGAAAGCATCTGCCTCGGTGGTATCTTCTGCTGGGGTGAGGTGGATCCGGGTCTCTGTGGGCTCCTGCTGTGTGCTGTTACCCATGGTTATCAGGAGAAGGGGGCTGAATAAGCTGGACAGCTCATGGGGCTTGGGTCTTGCCAGAAAAAGACAGTTGATTGCTCAGGCAGGCAGGGAGTGTTTGCTTATTTGCCTTTTGGCTGCCTTGGCCTTCAGCTGCTTAACTTAAGAAAGATGGACTTTTCTTCAGTGATCACAGATGGGCCAAAGAATTGTGATGGTAGCAAGGACAATGAGAGTTTTCAGGCAATTTTAGCTGTGAGGGCTGTGTCATTTTAGCAAGAGCACTGAAGGAAAGATGCAATGTTCTTTATTCGTAGTTCTCCTTTGCCATTCCCATCCCCATGAAGAGCTTGTCTTTGTTGCAGTAAGTGGCCAGTTGGGGCTTGCCAGAAAAAGGGTTGATTCCTTTGAGATGGATGCTGCTGCAGTTTCTGGCTCCTTGGCTGTGGTTCACTCTTAGAAGAAG